GTATTTGTAATTTTGTTAAGATTATCAAGTGTGATTTTTTGTACTTGGCCCCAGTAACATTCCACCAGTTGATTAAAACCAATTACAAAATGTATCACAGACTATCACCAACTCCTATTAGAATGGACCTTACATTAGTAAAACAATTAATTAAACACCAAGACCTACTAGAAATCTTCAAAGAAATCCAAGAAAGCAAAGAAAAAACCCTAATTACTGTCCAACATGATACAAAAGAAATAACCAAAATTCTGCAAAGAATAAAACAAAATGCAGATCATCACTAGTAAGATGTAATCTTTAGATAGTCACCAACTACAAATGAAATCTTTAATAAGTTATGTCATCCCATTTTAGTTGTATTAATAGTAGTTGGAGTAAGTTTAAAGTTATCCTTTATATTGCCAATTTAGAATTGGAGAATACTACAGCGAGTAGCTGTGTTAACCTCCTTATCAAACATACATGGTAAAGCATTAAGAGACACTTATTATCATAAGAATTTGCATTAAGTAAAAAAATTTACTTATTTTTATGAAAGGAAGAAAAATGAGACAGAATAGAAATTTTCCAGAGTAAAAATCCATTTTGATTTAAGTGAAATGTACATTTTTAAATTAGGTATGTAGCTTAAAAATATAGCTGTTTAGTCTGCCTGTCCTCGTAAAAAGCCTATGCACAGAGAAATTGCTGCAGGTCAAAGACAAGAAAGATAAGGGGAACAAACAAAAAGATTGTTATGAAAGATTATAAAAGAAAATTGTCTGACCCAGGAATTCTCTCTGATAAAAAAGAATTAACAGCAAATGTCACACGCAAAATCAGTAAAATAAATATGTATAAACCTATTGTAAAATTGCATGCATATGTATTTGAGAGGGGGATAAAAAGAGGTCTGGAGTTTCCAAAAGTATGCATGTCATTTTAAGAGAACAATTCCCACATGCATCCAGCGCTGTAATAAACATACCAGCTTTACAACTTTCACAAAAGTTGTGGAGTTTGTTTCCGCAAATCACTTTACTGCCCTGCAATTGACTTGCCTTGCCTTCCTCTACCCTGCCTTGCCTACAGCTTCTGGGCCTTATCTTGCCTACCACTCTATTGCCTTGCCTTGAATTCCTACCAGAGCTTGCTTTTCCTTGCCATTTGTGTCCTTCCCTTGCCTTGCTTTGCACTGCCTTTCATACCCGTCTTCTGAGAAACATGGAGTCAAGCCTCGTGTCTCCACACACAGAGAGTTCGCCTCAACAGGTAACTTCTTGTTACAAAGTGCTAGTTTCATCATTTGTCTGGTTTTCTATTTGTTCAGTAACTCCAGGTATGTTCACTGGAGCCTTTTCCACTTTGGGTAGTTCTAACCATGGTAAGAATCCTCTCATAAACTTGTAGAATCCAGAGGATCTTTCACCTAAGGGATTTAAATTTAATTTGTGTCTTGTTATAAAAGATTACAAGTGTCCTCTGGGGAATTCCAATTTATCAATACTATATATTTTTGGCACTATTGTTCCAATGGTGCGTATTCCTTGCCATTTAGGGGAGGTAGAGCTTTACTAGCTTGAGTTCTGCAAAGCCAGTAATATCCCATATTGTCTGGAATAGGCCACCAACATTTGTCTAAAATGCCTATTCCTGTTACATGAGCAACACTTGGGATAACCCCCTACCATTAGTCCTTGATTGCACTCAGGTAACTCCACTTTTTGATGGAAAGCTACTCCTGGTCTCTTTAGGCATCTGTGAACACAGGAGGTCGCAATGACTGCTATTTCAACTGTCAGGATTTGTTGATCTTTGAAGATTTGGGTTGTTTATCCTTCCAAAAGGAGCATCACTCCAGCTGGAGGAAAACCATTGGAAAATATGTTTGGTGTTGGAAGTCCCATCATATGAATACTTTCATCTGAATGAGTGGGAAACTGAGAACAAATCCAGCAGTTACTGTGGTTTGTTATCACTATCACAGCCTGCATTAGCTTTAGGTGTGAATTTCTCTTCCAAGGGTCAGGTAGTATTTGAGCTATGTCTTATATTAGAGTGGCCCTTAGGAAAAATGACATTGCTCTCCTTTCTTTTATAATCGTTAGTTGTAAGGTCTTGTAAGGATGGCTGACAAATCCAAGTGTAAACAGCCATGCAACAATATTAAAAGCATTGTTTTTTAAACATAAAAAGATAAACCATTTAATGAGTGTTATTTTAGAGTTTCTGATTCAGTTGCAGCTTTAGCTACAGCAGATTTATTAGTTACTGTGTGGTCCAGTAAGGTTCCTCTGCATCCAGAACTGGCTTTATTCACTTATAGGAGTCCAGGAGTCTCTGTCAGTAGTTTCCACAGCTGTTTAGGTAGTCAACAGTCCTTTCCACTGATGCTTGAGCAGCTCCTTGTCTCACGTCTGGATATACACCCAGTTTAGTGTCTAGTGAGGATATACTTGAACATCCAAGGTTATTAGAGAAGCTAAAACAGCAGAACATACACAATGATAAAGGTATCTTTTCCACAGAGTTACAACAGCAATTCTGTCTCTGGCCTCTAGTTGCAAACAAAGCACTATACTCACTACCACATGATGATGGCAATGTACGAGCAGTTTACAAAGCTTCATTGATAAACCTTTGTTTTGTTGAGAGCATAAAATAAACTTGTAGAAAGATGAGAGCAGTTTAAGAATGTGGGGAATATCCATCAGGAACTGATTCTGTGTTGGTGGCCATTAGAATCAATAGCCACCCAGGCCATTGGTCCTTGACTGTCCATCAGAGTCATAGGTATGATCCCAGTTTGGGGTAATTTGACCATGACTGGTAGACCCACTTTTAGGTGTTGCCTTTTCAGCCCCAAAAATCAAAAGCCAGACCAGGTTAGGTGATAAAATGTGATTACAGTTTAATTAAGGTCCCTTCAGGTGCACAACACACCAAAATATGTGCCGAAAATGTGCCGAAGATGCACAAGTGACACAGGGCAAGTACAGTTTTATAAGTTTAGCAAATTAGCATAATTGACAAGCATCCTCAATTAGAAACACAGATGGTGAAGTAATTCCCCCTCTTGGTTCGACCCCCTTCCTTGCTACTAGCTCTACATTGTTTATGTCATATACATGATAAAGTGTCTTGGGAAGGAGGCTCAACCTTGGTTCTCAGAAGAAGCAAGATTGGGATAGGGTCTTAGGAATGTATTTTGTACTTGTGTCTAACAGGGTAGGAAAAATGCTAGCTACAAATCTATATAGTTATACAACAATAGGCTACAGAGCTACAAATATATATGAAGAATATATAAAAGCAAAAATCAGTTTGGGATCATTCCCCCCTTTAGAGACTTGACAAGACTCTACCATGTCTAGTTTCTACTCTATATATTTAACCACAGTACTGACTTACACAACCAGCTATCGTACAGAAACCAACTATAGCTACAGCTACTATGAACAGTTCTTTTATCCAGGCCCAGTTTGGTAACCATGAAGTGAGTGTATGGAAGATATACCCAAAGTTCAATGAGTAATTTTTGAGAATTACCTTATGGAAAATTTGAATTTATGTCCAAATTTCAAGCAAAGCCTTCTTAATTCTTCCACTATGATCCACATAAGAACAACTGGTGTAAATGACTGCGCACACTCCTCCTTGTGTGGCTAGTAGGAAATTGAGAGCCATTCTGTTTTGCAAAACCACACAAGACAAATAATGGACATCTTCTTGTAAGGCCAAAATTGCATCTGAAGTTTGCCATTCAATATGTTCAGTAGTGGCTAAGATGTTAACAATTACTCTCTCCAGTTCAGCTACTCACAAAGAAGGAATGAGACCTCTGATTGTACTATGGAAAAGTGTGGGACGCTCAATGAGGGGATTAATTAATCTTTTTGTTCTCCTCATCCATCCATTTGGATCCTCAGTGTGTTCAAATATTGTTATGTTTGGAAGTACAGTCCCAAGGTCACAGGCCTGATCTCTATCTAAAGGCAAAACTTTCCAGGCCTCATTCTCATATATCCAATATCACCCTGACCTGTGTGGGGGAGTTAGTCTCCACAGTGTCTGTGCCATCATTTTTACAGATTTTGGATTTACTCTTTCTACAAATTCGGTCTTCTACAATATAGACGAAGAATGATCTTCTCAGTAGCATTAATGATTGTGCAGGGAACTGTATAGTTTTCCTGATCAATTAGGTTGCTCAGGAGATAGGAGGCTGATAGGCCTTATTGACTTGTTCCCACTTTTCAGAATGGTTTGCTTTCATCAAAACACCAAACAGAGGCCAGCTACCATTCCCATCCATGGTTGGCAATTGAGTACAAATCCTAACAAGCTGTTTTTATGAAGAGCTTTGGATATATTTTGGACTACAGTCACATGCAAATTTTGGAACCAAACCTGAGTCATGGTTCCAACTGTGCAGATAACAGGCACAAAAAGAACAATTCAAACCACATCATCCTGATTTATATCAATCTGTTTTTCCAGTGGTTTCAGGAGCAGAAGCCTTTTTAACTCTGGAGTAGTGAATCCAGGGTCCCTTGCCAGTGACCTTGACTGCAATGAGGGTAGTCAGCAGGACTTGAAATGGTCCTCTCCATTTAGCTTGCATCCATTTAACATACATCCAGTCTCCAGGCTGGAACAGATGAGCAGGTGTGTCCAGTCCTATTGGTCTGGGTAACATGACGAATCTCTGGAGCTTCTGCAAAGTGAAACTTAAAGCCATTAAATACTTTTGTAAATCAATTTTCCCCCTCATATGAATTTCTCCTGGCATATATGGAATTTGATATGGCCTGCCACATAATATTTCATAGGGACTTATGTTGCCCCTCCGCCTTGGTTGTATGCATATTCTCAGTAAGGCTATAGCCAAAGCCTGAACCCATGTAATGGACATTTCTTGACAGATCTTACTAATCTGTGTTTTAAGGGTTCCATTCATACATTCAACTTTGCCACTTGCTTGGGGCCTGTATGGTATGTTCAGGTCCCCAAGCAATTCCCAGAATCCTAATTTCCCTGACCACTGTTGTAATGAAGTGTGGTCCCTATCTGAGGACAACCCAAAAGGAACCCCAAACCTTGGAATTATATGATTGAAAAAGACTTTTACCACTTCTTTTGCTGTGTTATTACGACAGGGGTAAGCTTCAGGCCATCCACTGAAGGTGTTAACCAATACCAATGCATACCTCTATTCTTCTTTGCATGGTAACTCATCAAAATCTATTTGCCACTAATCTCCAGGTGTGACATGGTGTCGTGGGTTGGAGACACACACAACACAACACCGAGAGTCATCAGCAAAAAGCAATGAGTTTAATATGGCTGCCCTTTTTATAGGGGCTTTGGATTTCCCAGCATACATAGCTGATTAGATGAGACCTCTCCACCCAGCTCTCTGGCCAGTGGTATATCTGCATCTAAGCTTGAACAGGGTTGGCTGAGGTCTTTGTTACTTCTTTTCTAGAATGAGCCAAGTCAGCCAAATTGGATTTGTTATGGCCAGATTTATCTTGTTCAGCTACAGACTAGCTGTGCTGTGACATCCAGGGATATCTCCTGCTTTTGTTATTCCTAGCACAACTCTTTTGCTTGTGTCAGGGTTGTTTCTAAAACAGATTTCACAGTTGCTTGTTATACATTGTACAGCATCTGTCATTCCCCTTCCTATTACTACCTTCCACAGATGTTTCAAAAGATTTTCTGTTCCCCGATGGGTATTCTCATGCTCTCGCTGTGCTATTTTCTGAAGGAGCAGGGGTGGGACTACAACCTGTCCCACTGGGATGACAGCCCACCTGCTTTCTTTGATTTCAGCCTTAAGGATCTGTAGTGGTTTTGTATAGGAAGCATTCATGGAAGTGATGCAAAGAGAAAGCTGATATGCCTCTCTGAGCACTCATGTAAAAAATGAAAAATCCTGGGAAATCTCTTTTTTTCCCAGTCAGTAAAGAGGTAACAGAGGCCAGGTTGGGTGGCCTTTGCTGCGGGCCCAGGCCTCCTTCCTGGAGTGCCCTCCCCCCTATTGGTTGCTGGGCAGGGAGAGGGGAGTGTGAAGGGGGGCTGAGACTGGGCTGGGCCATGGCTACAATCTCTAACATCTTACTACTACTTAACCCTTCCCTACTGCCAGCCCAGGGCTGAACTGAGTCTGCTGGACTCCAAGAACAACACTGGATAGGGCCGGCTTGACCAAGATTCTACCACCATTGAAATTCACCTACAACCACTGGGTAGGGGAGAAGACAAACCATCAATTTCCTCTGGCTGCAGTTCCCCCTGCAAGCTACAGAACCCAGCCGGGGTCAGGTGACCATCTGTAAGCCCTGGGCAAAATATTAACTCTTTTAGTTCTTCAATCCTCCTTCGAGTGAGATAAAAGAACAAAATGCAAACACAGTAGAGGAGCAACATGAAGACACTGAAGTCAATGAAAAATAAGTCAAATCCCAGATGGGAGGGATGAGGAGATGCCTTGATCTTGGGGTTAAAATCCTCTTGTAAAACTATGGAGAAAATACTCTTTCTTCCTTATAACGCATGAAAGTATGGGGAGATTAAAGTGTTCAAATTGTAGATATCAAGCAAAGGCCTCCATACTAAATAAACAGATGTTAAAGTAGCTGTGATCCTATAAGAAGTTTGAACAGAGAAGGAAAGAAGAGTAATGAAAATCTTATTCCTCCAAGAAGATGATTTCAAAATTAGGTAATGAAAACCTTTATCTTTGAACAACTCATCTTTAAAACAAT